AGCATACTTCCTATGTTTTCTTCTAGAAGTTTCACGGTTTCAGGTCTTACATTCAAGTCTTTAATCCATTTTGAGTTAATTTTTGTGTATGGTGTAAGGCAATGGTCTACTTTCATTCTTTTGCATGTGGCTGTCCAGTTTTCCGAACACCATTTGTTGAAGAGACTTTCCATTCTCCATTGTATGTTCTTGGCTCCTTTGTCGAAGATTAGCTGTCCATAGATGTGTGGGTTTATTTCTGGGCTTTCGATTCTATTCCACTGATCTGTGTGTCTGTTTTTGTGCCAGCACCATGCAGTTTTGGTTACTATAGCTTCGTAGTATATTTTAAAGTCAAGGAGTGTGATACCTCCAGCTTTGTTCTTTTTTCTCAGGATCCCTTTAGCTTTTTGGAGTCTTTTGTTGTTCCAGCAAAACACTTTCAATTGTTTTAATTTGATTAATTCTCCTGATACTAGTACGTAGGCTTTGCCACCCCCATTTTGACACATGAGGAAACTGAGTCTTAGACTGGGGTTAAATATCTTGTCCAAGTTCACATTCATTAATTCATTCAACAGATATTCATTGTGTGCCTACTATTTGTCAGACACTGTACTAAGTGCTGGAGATAAAATGGTGACTCATTTTATCTACAACTCAAGAAGCGGCAAGGCAGACAGACAAACAGAATTACCCAGCTGTGACTGGAACTATGAAGAAGCAGCCCAGGTGCTTGGAGGGAGTGTGTAGGGAGAGCTTCCCTGGGGTCAGGAAAATGGGGTGGATAAGTGAAGGATGGGAAGTTAAGGTGCATGGTAGGAGGTGGGAAGGACTCCAGGTAGAGAGGATACCTGAGCAAAGACACTCAAGAGGGAGGGACCAGGAGAAGGAGGAGCCTTGGAGTGGCAGGGTGGGGGACAGCATGAGATGAGACTAAAGAAGCACAGAATGGAACAAATGTGCAGTGCCTTTAGGTCATACAGTCTTTTGCTTTTCAGACTGCCTTCCATGCCTCTCTCTGGTACAGGGTGGAGAAAAGATCGGGTTTGGGCTATGGGTGGGGTGGTCTAGCTACATGGCTAGTGCAATATCTAGGTGGGAGGTGGCAACAACTCAGGTTAACGTGGTCGTTAATGGAGGGAAATGGATGGGTTCAAGAGAAACCTGGAAGGTAAAATTCACAGGATTTCATGATGAACTGAATATGGAGGGAAAATAATAGAAGATCTGAAGATGACCCCAAAGCTTCGGGCTTTCAAAAAGGGGTGGGAAGTGGGGTCACTCTTTGAGATAGGAAACACAGATGAGCAGGTTTGGGGATCTGTGTCCTGAGTCTGATTTTGGATACGCTGAGTCTGAGATGCTTTGGAAACATGCTGGTGGCAATACCCAATGGACATCTGATTTTACTGTTTGAGGCTCAGAGGAAAGGCAGGCTTGGCCTTGAGCTACAAATCAATGACTCACCTCCAAGACGAATTAAAACCATGTGCCTGGGTGAGGGCCTGAAGGGAGAGATGATAAAGCAAGAAGAAAAAAGGACTTGAGACCAAGCCTTGAGAAATCTCAACACTCAATGTTGGGATGAAGAGGGTGAGCCTGTAAGAGAGACTCAGGGGTTGAGAGAATCAGATCACAAGTCAAGGAAGAGGAGATCAACAGCATCTAAGAGGCAAAGTACTTCATTTAGCAACCTCTGATGGCTGATTACCTTCACAAGAGCTATTTAGGTGACACAGAAAGAGTGGATTAGAGGCACACATCTAGCCAATGGGCACGCTGGAACTAGAAGCAGGTGCACTGGGCTCTGAAGCCCTCTCCACACTGCTCCCTGGATGAATTCATTCTTCTCTGTTTTCTACAAATGTTGTGTGAGAACCTGTGAAGTGTTGCTGCTCTCTCCATAGGATTCCCTCCTCCTCTGACGACAGTGATGTCAAGCCATATGTGCTTACAGTGATGCTGTATGTAACAATGGCCCACCCAGTGGTGGATCTGGCTCACACGTGTGCCCTAGGAACCCTGGCTTTGACGGGCTCGGCATGGCTCTTTGATCCTCTTTGATCTCCGACTTTCATCAGAACCCTGTGCTTCTTCCCAGGTGGTGCGGTTTCTCTGCTCATCCTCGTGTCTGGATTGTGAGGGCTTCAGGGTTTTGATATGTACTTGCTGAGCACATGTAACTCCTGATTTCTCTGTTGTTCTTCTCAGAACCAGTCCTGAAAGACTGATGAGCTAGTCCTGAAAAACTAAGGGGCCATCAAATTGGTGATTTCCCATGGCAACACTCCTAATGGTGTCACCACTTCTTTTACTAGGAGTGATTAGGGAAAGCAACTGGTCGCAGGCCTATTTACTCTGCAGGAGTTTCATATTGTTGGATACCACCTTGTTACACGTTGACTTGACTGCTGGTGAAAGAAAGAACAGCTGGTAAGAATCAGCAGAGTACTCAACATCTCACACAGCTAAGAATCCAGATGCTGTGCAGTGGGTCCAAAAGTGTGATGTTCTGTTTAGGTTTAGGATGTATCCATGTATCCACTTCGCTTCATTTTCATATGGGTATCAAGCACCAGCTGATTCACTGGCTGATGAAGAGCTCCCACTATTTTCACTTTCAGTCTCTTGGGGTCTGCTGCTTTTCCATGCAAGGCTGTCATGTGCTGAAATGTTCTACGGTAATCAGCTTGGCAGGAGTTGGCACAACTTTATATTGGGAGTATCCAAGTCCCTATAAATAGCTCATCCACGTTATTTACACTAGTGGCCTGAGTGCTTGTGATTAGGGCACTGAGGTTTGGTTTTGGGTTAGGTGTAGGGTATGTGATGATGTGATGACATCAAAGGCTCCAGAGAGCCTTGGACAACTTGGGACGCAAAGTTAACAAGAGCACGTGTTTCAGAAGCACGCCCTCTACAGGATAACACAGGGATCGCGTCTGAGTTAAGTCACTTACTGGGAATTCTCCAAAGGCTCCTTACTACACCAGGCCTTGAGGCACGTTTAGTGTGGCCAGGGCTCTCATGCTGCAGCCAATGCTTCTCAGATGCCCCAAGGCTCAGGGTGCAGCGGTATATTTATGTTAAGTAACATTTATTACATAAGAGATCAAAAACTAAATAGCTTAAAATAAGGTTTTCAATTATTTTTTCTGTATGCTTGCTTGCTTTTAAAAATTGCCATTCATAAAATCATATTCAATTAATAAAAGGATTTTGTGGCTGTTTTGACTACAAGCTTTCCTCCTTCCACTGATGTATTTGCTTTCTATTAGGAACTTACTGGACTTCACAGAAACTGGTCTCAGCAGCCAGTGCAGCACACACACTGGAGGGACCAGTCCTTTTAGTTACACCAAAGACTCAGACTCCTCCATCCCACCAGCACCCCACCAGCTCTCTGGGCCCTTCAACCTCACCTGGCACAATACCCAGGGGCATTCTTTCCTGTGTCCCTTATTCTGGCTTTTGGGCCACTGTGCAAACTCCATAAGAAAAGTCAATCTTTGAATGTTCTTGGACATTTTTTCTCATTTTAAGAGATAATATTGGACATAAAGCAAAAGCCTAGACATTTTCAATTCTATGAACTATACTAACATAATAGTAACAGATAATATGTCAAACTCCAACCTATACCACCAACCTCCCCCAGCCCCAAGACACACACACAGACACAGACACACATATGCCTTCCTGTTACACAACTTGCAGGCCCAGAAGGAATCATTTGCAAAGGAAGGATCTATTCAAAGAAAACACCAATTCTTTTCTGTAAGAACTCATTTCAACATATTTATCCTCAAATATATCCTTGGCAGAGTCAAATGAACTCATGAACATCTCACAGGCCAAGACCTAGGAGGCTCAAGAATCCTGGGCATTTTTCCATCACATCCAATTCCCACATAAGGAATTCAGAAGCACCCAGACTGGTTTGGAAGCACTCAGCAGGCATGGAAAGAAGGGAAGAGGCAGAGTCATGATCTCAGGGTTGACTCTGACATGGGGCAGCACACAGTAGGAGCTCTTTCATCACCTGTGCTGCAGGATCTGATCTTAAAAGTGGCTATGGTGGACTCCCTGGCCATTTGCAGGATCATAGAATGTTAGAGATGTAATGATATTTTGCATATGAGGAAACCAAGGTCCAGGAAGATAAAGTAGTTAGCTCAAGGTCATACAAACCCATCTGGGACTAGGATTCAAGACTTCTAACTTCCATCCAGTGCTCTTCATACTACCCCACAAGCCTTCCCTTGTTGCCTATATTTCATCGTTTTGAAAGAAGACATCTTATTCATCCATCCAAGCTATTCATGCATCCATCTATCCATCCATCCATCCATCCATCCATCCATCAATGCATTCATCCATCAACCATCCATCTGATCCATCCATCCATCTATCCATCCATCATCCATTCATCCATCCATTCACCCACTCATGTATCCATCCATCCTTCATCCAACCATCCATCATTCATCCATCTATCCATCCACTCATCCATCATCCATCCATCCTTATTGTCTGTATTTCCCACCTCCAGGTCGATGGGAACTCTGAGCATATGCCTTGAACACACCTGTTACCACATCTCCTGGGGATGCTTTGTCCCAATCCACAATGACAAATGAGTGGCAGCCTTCCACTGCAACCACAGTGATGTTGCGGGGGGCATGCTGAGGAGGCAGGTCACTCTTCTTCAGCTCATTTGGGATGATTTCATCCAGGCTTTCCACTTGGAAATGGTCCAGAGCATCAGTCAGAGAGCACGGGGCTGATGGGTCTTTATTTAGGTACGTCACATAAGGAGCTGGAAAAGAACAGAGACACCCATTGGGACTGCTGAAAGCTTTCTCTGGAGACATAATGTCTGCCCCATGGAGTAGACTCACCATTCAGTCTCTCCCTGCTAGACAGAGGTTCCAGGGCCATGAGCCCTGACGCCAAACTCAGAAGCACATTCCTACCTCTCCTTAATGGATCCACGCATTTACATCTTTCATTCTGCTGGTTTCAAAAGATCGTATTGCCCCATCAACATCAACGATTATGCCCTCAAAGTAATTTTGAAAGATCCCCGGACTATAATTCAATGTAGTATAAGTCTGCAGCATTCTGCCATTCCTACACCCAAACATTTGGAAAAGTGTGAATCGGGCCCAGCTGACACTTAAGTAGAGCTCTCTCAACACAGTTCATTCCCTAGACTGCCTTGGGACCAGAAAAAAATATACACTGCTCGAGATGGACAGCCTCTAGCCTTCAAGCCTGGGTGGCCTTCCCTAGGGCTTCAGGGAGCCCCATAACCATCTGGAATATCTGCACAAGGCCAGGCCTGAACAGCCTTCTACAACATTACTGCTCAGTACAATAATAGCTATTCACATTTATGGACAGGTTCAAGGTTTCTACACACATTATCTCAGTGGATATGGGGCCTGGGAATAAGGCAGGACATGGACTGATACCCCATCTTCCAGCAGAGCCTACTGACCCTAAGGGGGGGCCCACAAAGCAAGGGTCAAACAGGAGACTACCTCCAGCCCACAGCCCTTTCTATTATCTACACTCTATAAGAAGTCAGACAAGCCAAGGAATTGCAGTTGGAGCTTTATACACACAAGACTTCCCTGTGCTCCCAAGTAACAATTTCTAGTACTTAATAAATGTTCCATTGCATCTTTTGGCACTAGGTTCTCATTCTCAGTGGCCGTTACGACTAAGAGCAATTTTTAGCTCCTCTATTTTCCAATAATTGTATAAATTTAGGCCTTTAGAGTTTGTCCATGGATCTCATCAGGAAGTTTTGGGGAGTAATCCACTATACTTTATAGAGCATTAGACTACGAAAATAGCCAGGCAACAGTAAGCCTTTCAGTCTTCAGAAGAGTTCTTTGGAACAGCTAATAATAAAAAGCATTTCAATTTCTGCCATGGAACCATAGAGAGAAAAGTCAGAACACTCAGTGAATTCAGCCAGGCTGCTGCGTGCCATGGGCCAGCATCAGCATTGGCCTCAGGAATGCTACATCAAACTAATATCCTTGTTCTTCAAGTATGTGTGGTTTAGACACTCCACACTATGTCTTGACTGGCAAGAGTTGTTCTCTGCTTATGGCAGAACATTTATTTTGGAAGCAGAAAAGTGTGATATTAGTTTAAGCTGTTGCCTGTCTCCACTTCGTAATATATTATCTTTTTTCCACTTAGTAATATGTTAATCTGTCTCATTAGTGAAGTTCATTAGGGGCATGGGAAAAGAAGACTCGCAGAGGGAATGAAACACAGTTTAGTGAAATCAAATTTCCTCTTGAAATTGTTTTAGTAAGTGAGAAAAACGTCCTTGAGGCTAATGAAAATTATAGGGGATAACTGAAGAAAAACAGCTTTGGCTCTGTGATACTAGTAGTTCAGTTCAGTAAACTGCTCATCTTGTAGGAAGAAATTAACAAGCAATGTGCAGGCAAGGCCTAGTGGTAAGTCTCACCTTAGAAGAGTGGGATACAATAAAAACACTCATGTTCCCTGGTCCTGATGATTTTTAAGTGTTTCTTCTTCTTAGTCTACACAAAGCAGCCTCTCTAAACTCTACTCTGTCAGATACCAAATGTTCTCCGGCACACTCCCCTCTCCCGACTTCTGCAGAAAGCAAGTTAATCTGCATCTCAACAGGACTGACTCACTGAATCACGCCAGATGGAAACTTCACTCTGGGAAAGTTTCTGCCCCAACTGTACCGCCTTGGCCAGGCCAAGAGATTAGTTATGCTCTTCTTCAAAGAACAAAAGTTAAAAACCCATGTTTCTCTGATTAAGCAAGTTCTAATTTACCAACAAATCGTTTCTTTCCAGCCAGATCAAATTCTTCTTCAGGAAAGGAACTAATGGAGCCTTCTGGTGAGATGACCTTGGGTGTGGCAGCCTTAGTGGAGGGCGTGGTGGTGGTTGGTGGCCTCGAGGTCTCAAATTCATAATCTGAAATGATAGGAAGGCTGTGTAATTGGGCACTTCCAGAAAAGGGGCACTGTCTGCAGTCAAAAGGTACCTTCTTAAGATTCAACTCGACTACAGCGTGCATACACACACATCCTAAAATAAGTGCTATGCCTAAACATAATTTGTTTCTAATAAAACAGTATTTCCCCACATTTCAGTCCCCCCTGAAAAGCAGCTGAGGAGAAAAGAAAGGAATGGTAAAAAGAAACACATATGACCAGAAAAATGAGATTTCAGAATCAAAGCTGGACAGAACCTTACAATTCATCCAGTTTACCACATTCTTTTTACTGGTCCAAGGCCGTTCTCTGCCTAAATAATTTTGCCTTTTAGAGCCATAAAAGATTCACATCAGAAAATAAACTTAATTAAAAAAAAATATATATTCTGTGCATGAGCTTTTTTCTGGGGAGGAGGTGAGTTTAATCCTATTAAGAGAACTAATCCTTTAACATGTAAAAAAGAAAATAAAACTGCTCCCTTTTCAACAGCTCAAAGACAATAAGAAAGGTGCTTAGTATTTTCAAAGGAGCTAAGAAACCTTCCTTTGCTTTCTGACATCTGCTGTTCTTCTTTTAAGTCAGTTTTTGTTTGAAAACTGTGGGATTAAACCACTACGTCAAACTTTATTATGATCGCATCAAACGTGACATTATTCCCACATTCGGCATTTAAGGCCATTGGAGCTACAGATAATAGCAAGCAACGTGAAGCACAAAAGTGAGGCCACCCCGAGCGTCAAAGGTGACTCTGGGGTGGGGACAAGATGCCCACGTGAAGTTCTTCAACTGCAGAGGCAACTTATAAGACACCCAGAGCAGCCACAGGGTGGTAAGTGCAGTAACAGCATTAGTTACCATTTATCAACTACTGCTCCAGATTCTATCCAAGGCATTTTGTATTCTTAATCTTCTAAACTCACCCGTACTTGAAAAGAGTCTATGATAAAAAAATCAACACACTTATAGCATTGCATTTTTTATGTAACTAGAAAAGGAGAGGAGAAAAAAGGGAAGAACAAAAATGAGAGCCGCCAAGAAAAGAAGCTGAGACTTTGGTACAAACAGTGGTGGAAGGCAGAGGCCCAGGCGGAAGCAGCTCCAGAATTTCTAGAGGAGGGAGGGCTTGGGAGGGAGAGAATGGGGAGCACAGGGGATTCATCTGGAAGTTGCCTTTGCATCTCAAGCACACTGTTTATCTCTGGATCAAACATGTATTGGGGGGTAACTTGGAGGGGTGGGGTACAAGCACCCTTCCCTACACATTGCCACCCAGCTCAGAGTTCTGAAGGAAAATGCAATTGAGATCATTCACTTAGTAATTAAAATAAGACTCTCCAATGGGGAAAGAAATTGTTCAAATAATGTGTTTAAAATCAGTTAGTACCTTCATCATAGATCACGTACGCCTCTTCCGTGGGTATGGCTGTGTCGGTCTCCAATCCTGAGAACTCATCTAGTGGAGGAGGGGAGAAAGGGTCATCAAATTCCACAGGGTTGCTTCTCAGTCCCTCTCTCAGAATGGTGCCATGATTCATTCCACATGACCCTTTCATGGGAATAAGTCGCCAATGCCAGGCCTCCTCAGCTTTCTCAGAAGGAGGAGCGTGAGAACACTGAGGTGGAACCCGGATTTCCTCTCCTTTGTGCTCAGAAAATGGCACTCAAGATGCCCTCCAGGGATCAAAGGAAAGACACCTCCGCATCATGCGGACTCTCCAGCACAGCGAGTTTCTGACATCACCCTCCCCACCACCACCACCCCCACCCCGCCACCTCGGTGCCCACGCACCCTGCCTGCCCAGGCAGCTCTCGAGATGCTGAAGGCAGGTGCCCTGGCCATCATGTCACAGGCCTGAGAACAGGCATTCTCAGAAAGCAGCAAGCAGAGTGGGCAGTTGGTGCTCAGGACAGTGCAAAAATCCCTCCACCTGTGAGCTCCTTTATTCATCCCACCCCCTCCACCTTGCTGCTCGCATGTTCTAGAAGCAGGGTGACTTCCTGCCCCTCCTACTTCTAACTTGGCAAACCACACTGCCGTGAGTTGCCTGTGCTTCACTCTCCCTGCTAGCCTCCCACCCTCTCTAGTGAAGAGCTCGCAAGCCACCAGAGGCCTGTGAGATGCCCCGGCACCCACTTCGCCATTGATGTGGTGACCCTGAGTGCATTCTGAGGGGGCCATGAATGTCAACAAGAGAGAAGCTGTAAATTATTATCCACCCTACAGCGGTCAGGATGGTCATTTCAAGAAAAACTATTCGACATAATTTTTCCTTAGGTCATTCCAATGTCAATATGCCTGGATCCAGGAGGAATTACTTCTGGGCTGGTTCAAATCAGACAGTTTTCAAGTTCACACCACCCAAAGTTTGAGGCTAGCTTGCCGTTTCTTCCCAGACTACCATTTTCTTTCCCTTGCCAACGTAGTCTTGTTTTTCCTCATTATTGGTTCAGATTCATTTCTTTTCATCATTATTTTTAGCCAGGTCAAAAATGAATCAATTCTACAACTTTTGCATCCCAGAGGGAACAAGAAAAGGGAAACGTACAGCATTTCCTTTATGGATTCTTGGTGTTGAGTGTAATTCCTTGAGGTGCTGAAATACTCCGGCACGTGTAGCAGGCCACAGAAATGATGGCTTTTACCTGCAAACTGGAATCACTTCTTGAATGAGTGACAGTTAAGCCTTCTGGCAAAAGTAAACATCCTACTGAGTGATTTAGTGTTCTTTTTTCTTTTAAGACCAAATAAATTCAGGCACAGTTTTTTTAATATGGCATCATAGCACCATCTTGACTCCAAGTAAAAGTAACTTCCACATGTAATGAAGTATATTTACAATTTTTTTAAAAAGCTGACAATGGGAATCTGTCCCACTTGAACACCATTTTGAAGCATTTGGAACTATGTAAAACTGAATGTTTTATAAGTCAGGTCAGCATCAATGTCAAAAGCTTCCAACTCTTCATAAAAAGTAGTTACCAACCACCAACCATCGTGGTATGGTTTATTCTCTTGAGTGGTTTATCCAAATGGTCATGAAAAAATGAGTGCAAAATATCACCAAAGAATTAAAGCCTTAGCTCTTGAGATATTTAAAAAACTATAAAAAAATATTCTCAGGAGAAGTGTAGAGAGAAGGTAAATGACAGCCATTTGAAACCCAACAACATTTGCAAATCATGCAGTTCGTCCAGCTCAAGTGAATTTTCAATTATTCTCCTTGTATCTTCTGTCTTGAGAGCGAGCTGTGGCAGGGTGGAACCGTTTTCCATAATAACTGATGTTTTTCTGAGACATGCCCCAGGATCAGGTTACAAATCGTTAAAGATGTTCAGCTGGCTCGTAATTTTCCAAATACACACGATAGCATCAGATTCGCTATAGAAACGGAACCTGAAAAAGAAGGATCACTGGCTTTTACTTCTCAGTTAGAAAAAAGAGAATGCCTATAGCTTAAGGTATTTAGATATTCAAAGATGCATATTTAGGCACCATGAGGAATTTGACATAAAGCAGAAGACACTGTCTCTACTGCAAGGAGTTTATTATTTAATGGGGAAGTCAGATCAAGCAAAAAAATATGTGTGTGTCTGTGTGTATGTGTCTGTGTGTGTGTGGAAAGAGGCAGAGAGGAGTAAAGGAAACAATACACAAAACAAGCATATAATATGCATCTATGCTTACGGGAATGTACATACAAGTATGGCATCCATAACAAATGAGGAAGTGCCTCAATACTGCCTGAATTAGTGGAATGATTGAATGATACAAGGTTATTCCTAGAACATTATTTTAAAACTGTGTTTTAATGAAGAGGGGGCAGTATTTAACCAGGGGAGCCAAGACTTTGGGATTTGAAAAGGTGATTTTAAAATTGGAGGGCTAGAAACAAAATTATAGGACTTTGCCAATGGAATGTAATGACAAATGGTTGACTGGATGGGGGTTGCAGAGAGGGGAGTCTTGGAAGGGCAGGTATTCATTGAGTGACCACTAATGCAGGTTCTAAATCATAATCACTACAGCAACAAACATTTCAGGCCACTAGGCTGCAAAGTGCCATGGCCAAAATGTCACTTTGTCAATACTGGTTGTATACGCATGGAGCCCCAGCACGTGTGAGTGTACATTACGGACTGAACTACACTTAATACAACAAAAGAGAAGGTGCATGAGAGAAAACACAAACTCGAGAGCAGAGCAAGAGGCAGGGAAACACGGTACAGGTGGTTCTGTGGATGACGTGTGAGGGGGAGATGTGGGACGGTCTCTCAGCTGACATCAGTCTCTTACTGAAAGCATCTCTCTGACCTGAGTGTTATTACAGCACTTACAGAATGCATTTTTGCACATCAAGACCACTACAAGGTGTTCAACCAAGAAATGGCAAACTCTGTTATAGACAGAGTTTTTTAGACAGTGCGTAGGATTTTCAAGAGTAATTCTGACTCTGATTTTCAAATCACAAGCCATCTTTAGAAGCTAATGCCCACCCACGATGCTCACTTCTATGCCTCTGTCCATCACTAGGCCTGACGTGTTCCATTCCAATGATGGACGAAGCAGGGGCTATGCTTTGTATTCCCAAGGCAAGCACAGTGCTGGGCTCACAGTAACATTCAATAAATGTGTGTTGAAGTGGACATCTGGAGAGGAGGTAAGTAGAAGTTGGGTAAGGAAGGCCAATAAGGAATAGTAATTTGACTGTTGGGCCAGTAGGGCCAGCCGAGAGATGGAGAGAATGAAGCAAATCTAAGAAATACGATGGAGGAAGAATCAGTGAGAATTGATGAGACCTGACAATGGAGATGAGAGAGCAAAAGAAGCCAAAAGGGACACTAAGGCTTCAGGCCTGGAGAACTCTGTGGGTTATTGTGAAATCATCCTTATCCTGTCTTGCCCTGTTTTAAAGATGAACATTTTGGTTTTCTGATAAGAGAGTGAGCTGTTTCTATCTACTGTAATTTCAGTTTGATTGTAAGCCCTTCAGAGGCAGAGCCATGCCATCTACTTTTCTGTATCTCCCATAGAACCCGATCCATGCAGAGTAGATGATTAATGATCATTTGCTGGTTTTATTTTATTTTAAAAAATTATGAATAAAGCCAGAAAAACAAAAACAAGAGCTACTCCATCCTCTTTAAATTACAACATGGGTTTTCTCATAATGAAATCATTGTCCCAAGGATAAAGATAAAAAAACGTTCATCAAATGAATTTACTCAGTTCTAAATCAGGGCTTATCTTAGACACAGAACTTAATCACACTCACTTTCACTTTCAGAAACTGTAAACTGAAAGTATAAAAAATACCTATGTCAATATCATCAGTTATTAGGGAACTGTAAATCAAAACCTCAATGAGATACCACTTCACACCCACTAGGATGGCTAGAACTTAAAAGACAGATAATAACAAGTGTTGGTGAAGATGCAGAGAAATCGGAAGCCTTGTACATTACCGGTAGGAATGTAACATGGTACAGTCACTATGGAAAACAGTTTAGCAGTTCCTCAAAAAGTTAACATAGAGTTACTATTGGACACAGCAACTCTACTACCAAGTATATACCCGAGAGAAATGAAAATAGGTGTTAAAAAAAACTTGTATACAAATGTTCATAGCAGCATTACTCATCAGAGCCAAAAGGCGGAAACAACCCAAATGTCCATCAACTGATGAATGGATAAAATGTGGCATAGCCACACAATGGAATATTAATCAGCAATAAAAGGAATGAAGTACAGATATACTCCACAATGTGGATAAACTTAAAAACAAATTACGCCAAGTGAAAGAAGCCACTTATTTCTGAAGAATGAAATGTCCAGAATAGACAAATATAAAGAGGCAGAAAGTAGATTAGTGGTTTCCAGGGGTTGGGAGGAGTGGTGAATGGGGACTGACTGCTTATGGGTATGGAGTTTCTTTTGGGGGCTGTGAGAATGTTCTGGAATTTGATAGTGATGATGCTTGCACAACTCTGTGAATACACTAAAAATCATTAAACTGTACACTTTAAAAGGGTGAACTTCATGGTATGTGAATTATATCTCAATAAATTAAAAATTTAAAAATAAAAACTACAATTAGAATTAATACGAGGAAGAGAATGTTTAATAAAGTTATTAGTGGAGCACTAGAAATAAAAAAGAAAGATAGGCCATACAGAAGTACTTTTAAAAGAATAAATTATAGTACATTAAATATTGTTTAAGGATGATATGTTGTTCTCCCCAAATTTAATGTTTTCCTAAGACTTTGTATTGATTTGTATTGATTTCAAAATGCTGCCTAGAGGCCAATTATTAGTAACACTTGGATACTAGGAAATCAGAAGAATGGACATGAGTGATGTAAAAGACATATATATAATATATATATATGTTATGATTCACAAAGAAAAGAAGAAACAAACAAGCCAAGAAAAATATTGACTTTCATGCCAAATAAAAGTCCAAAAAGAAAAAGAAAAGAACAAGCTATCAAGCCTATATAAAAGCAGACAAAAGAAAATGCAAAATATTAATAATAATAGTAATTAAAACCAAATCTAAAATAGTCACTCTTCTGTTAATTATTCTGTAACCAATTATTAAGTAAATATCTATTCTAATAATATTTCAGTTTTTTTAAATAAACACATTAATGTATGTAGAAGTAAGAGGTCAAGGAAAGAACATAATATTTTCATTCCAGAAATCCAAACATAAATTCCTATTTGTACTCACTGGGTACATTGATCTTGTGAGAATTTTCTTCTCAGTGGTCCTCTTCCTCAGTATGTTTCCTTATTTTTTGGTGTGAATTTGTCAGATGTGTCAAATGTTCCTGTTTATTTGGAATTTTTCCGTGGAAAGACTGACTTCAAACAGAATTCCTATTTTGGATACAGCATTCAAGTTCAAATCAATTAGGCTTATCATGGTCAACAATGCTGTGTACAAACTCAGGGCATGCAGATAATTCCTGAAATGAAGGGTCTCCACTCTGCATTAGCTTAAAAAGACATAAGCTTTACAGTCGACATGGCAATTCATTTCAACCTGGGGAAAGAAGATGAATTTGCCTCTTCCGAGCCTGATGCAAATACAGGATGACCTCTTCCAAAGCAGCTTGACAGGGACTGAGTAGAAAAGATGATGAGATCTCAGCTCCACCGGGACCTGACCGGAAGTGACCTAGCTGCCATTCTTTAGGGACAATGGGCCGTTCCCAGTAGGAAGACATGGCAGGGGAAGAGGCTAGCCCTGATGGGGTATCCCAAAGCAGGGAAATGGCCCCGTCCCACCCAATGGAAGGCCCCTGCTGCCATGAGAGCCCAGCCAAGCAAGGATTAGCCTTTTCCAAAGGAAGAGGTGATCAAAAGCATTCAGCTGCCCAACGTGCTCGGGAAACTCTACTTTTCTTGGAAATTCACAACGAGACTATTCAATGATCTGAAGGATCCAACAGTAAGAAATTCATTCAACTGTGTTTAAATCACATAGCTAATCACAGAATCTTTTTTTAAAAATATATACATATATAATAAGTACCAATCTACTAATACCCACTGGAACACACTTTGGGAAACACTAGTCCAAGCTAATAATGTCCCTTGCTTCAACTACATTTTTGACTTGGGTTGTGACAAAGTTGCTAGATAAAACACAGGACACCTACTTAGATCTGAATTTTAGATAAACAGCAAATAATTTTTCATATAAGCATATCCCATGCAAAATTTTTATTTCCTAAATCTGACAACCCTAGTTGTGACTCAGTACTGTCGAACAAGCCTTGTGGGATTAGGAATGCCTCTAGTTACTGGTCTGCTGTGCACCCTACTTACCCCTCCCTGCTGCCTCTGGGACTCTACTCAGAAATGCAGCATGCTAGTTACGTGGGCCTCCATTAGAACAAAGACAGTTACCTTCTTCAGGATAGCACTCCGGGACCCCACTGGAGCCCATTATGAGGTTGCCAGCTTCGTCATGCTGCTCCAGGGTCCCAGGGGGACAGGTGGGGATGGGGGTGGTGGGTTGAGGGGTGGTGGTGGTGGTGGTTGTCTGCGTAGTGGTTCGGATGGTGGTCGTTGGGCGTTTGGTGGTGGTCGTGGGCCTCGGGGTCGTCGTGGTGGGCCTCGGGGTCGTGGTAGTGGTGGGTCGTGGGGTTGTGATGGGGGAAAGGGTGGTTGTTCTGATGACCTCCAAGCCCACCAGGGGCTTCCCTCCAAGACTCAAAATGGGCTTATCCTGGGCAATGGCCAGAGGTTTGCCATGCCGCCCCTGCCCGAAGAGGGGGAGGCCATCAGGGCTCACCACGGGGGTCCCTCCCAGATCTGAAACAAAATCAAACACAAGCTGTGCAACAAGGTGAAACATTCCAGAGAAAGTAAAAAGCAAGTGAAAAGTGTCTTCTCAAAGCTTATGTATTCCTACATTTTAATCAGTAAAGGGCAAAGAAATAATTAAAAGGATACCAGCTGAGTTAGCAATATCTGCTGCTTTCCAGAAATTTCTGGACTTATTATATAGTCCATTACTCTGTATTACCTTACATAAATATATAAATGTTTCATCAATATGTCCCATTACCCTGAAATAACTCTTAGTCTCTAGTAAGGAAAGTAATTCTTTCCTCCTCCTCATTCCTACATTTAAAGAGGAAAATGTTACTTTGGACCAGGTGTGGCAAACCAGAGTAGATATTTTAAGCTTCATGGGTCACACAGTCTCTGTTGCAACCACTCAACTCTGCCATTATAGGGCAAAAAAGCCATAGACGGGACACAAATGAGTGTTTCTATGTTCCACTAAAACTTTGTGGATGGACACTGAAATGTGAATTCCATATAATTTTCACATCACAAATATTATTATTCTTTGATTTTTTTTTTTTTGCAATCATTTAAAAATGTAAAAAACTATTCTGAGCTCACAGGCTGTACAAAAACAGGCAGCAGACAGGGTCTGGCCCGAGGGCTGTAGTTTGCTGATCTCTGCTCCTGGCTGCCCAATGTAAAGAATGAAGCAGAAGTCGAGCGCCATCTTTCCTAGAGGGTGGAGTATGTAGGAAAAGTATAACTACAGTTGTATCAGGGGAAAAGCTAAATTCTGCCTCTTTTGAGGCATCTTCTTCCATATGGCTAAAACTAATTGGAGCAAGGGCCCCCATAAAAATCAGGCAGAGGAGGAAGAGAGAAGGTGTTATTCTAGAGTAATCCAAGACACTTCCGTTCCTTAAAAACCATCCCCACTTACCCACAATGGTTCGACCATCTCCTCCTAGCTTAACCCGAAGAGGATTTCCGTGAGAATCTTGGAGGTGCCTTCCTTCTGCATTCAATACTAACCCACGGTCAAGATCCACGACCTAAATCCACAACATAGATTAAAGAATATATTGGACATTTCAAAATGTTCACATTATTTGAACTACATGAATATATGCATGAAGCCTCCACAGGAAACCATCATGTGAGTAGGAAACATTATTTTTGTCAGCATCACTCATAAGATTTAATAATAAAGTGCAAATCAATCATTTTTTTTTTTGAGGAAGCTGGGCCCTGACCTAACATCTGTTACCAATCATCCTCTTTTACTGTTTTCTCCCCAAAGCCCCAGGACATAGCTGTATATCCTAGTTGTAGGTCTTTCTAGTTCTTCTATGTGGGACGCCTGCTCAGCATGGCTTGATGAGCGGTGTAAGTAGGTCCGCGCCCAGGATCCAAACTGGTGAACCCTGGGCCACCAAAGCAGAACGAATGCACTTAACCACTATGCCACCAGGCCTGCCCCAAAACAGTCATATTTTATATTATAATTGCTTACCCATATAATATGTAAATTGTTGTAAGTTCCTCAAGTATACAAAAGATGTTCAAAATATTTTTATCATTTAGTTTGTTGTGTATAATGCTGAAAAGTAGGAAATAATCTAAGTGTACATCCATGGAGGGAAGAGATTTAAAAAACTATGGCCCATTCAGACAGTGGAATACTATGCAGCCAATGAAAAGGATTTGGAAATGCTACATATATTGACATATACCAATGTGAACTCAGATTACAGGACTGATTATTTTGCAAAAATAAAAATATATTCATTTTTGTCTATAAGCTTAAAACTGCAGAGAAAAATATCTGGACAAATATATCCCAAACTATTAAGAGTGGTTGTCTCTGAGAAGTGGTTTGAGATGCTTACTATCTTTTTCATTTATATCTGAACTGTTTCAGCTTCTTGCAATGAACATGTATTGCTAGTATATTAAAAATGCAAAATGTTTCCATTTTGCTGTTAATGTTAAAAATCAAAGTTGCTATAACAAAAATGATTTAATTTGTAATTAAATTGTCTAATATAGTATACATGCAAAAAGTTCATATTCTGAGGAATTATAAAACTTGAAAAAGCTATTATTATCTCTGTTAAGGAACAAGCTCATGCTCTACACTGGTGTTTCTCAAAGTGTGGCCCTGGACCAGCAGCCTCAGCATCACCTGGGCATCATATATTGTCGGATATGCAAATTACCTGGCCTTACCCCACACCGCATTTGACAAGCCCCTCCCACCCCCTGATTCTGATGCTCACTAAAAGTTGAGACCCAACACTCTGCACGATCAGGCCACTGGATGAACCCCTGCAAGCAGGTGACTTTGTTGGATGCTGTCTCAGTAATTTAAATAAAACTTATTTATATAAACCCTAGTTTTGCAATCTACTCCATATAGTTTCAATTCAAAATTGTTCACAGTGATATTTTGCTTTAATATGCATTCCTCCTATTATAAATTTCTGTTGCTTCTAGAAATGATGAAATGTATCTTTAGATCACCTGTGTCTGAAAATTTCATGAAATTTCCTTCAATATGTTTTCCTGAACTTTATTGTTATAAATGGGAAGTTTTGACTGGGAATTCCACTATAAATGTGTTGAATCTTGGAAGAAATATTTCAAAGCTTGAACATTGTCAAGTGTTCTGCCCATTACCCTCAACCCACCAAAAACGCCTAAACTTTTATCTTAACCCCTGAAGGTTAAAGTCATTTAGCTTAAACATTCATAAAGTACCAATACTTACTTTTTTTTTGGACAAACAACTTCCAACGATTGTTGGAGGATTCAAAAGGTGATCTGATAAAAACTGCCAATTTGATTCAGGGTTTTTTTATTTGTTTGTTTTCACCCCGCTTCCTTTGACAAAGGATTTGTGACAATGTACAGAAAATACTTGTACTATTTAACCAAACCATAAATAAAAAATAAAAAATAAAGCTCCCAGGACTGGGAAAATAGAAGTTCATTTGAGAGGCCATCCATCAGGTTGTACGTCATTGCCGTGGTTGGGCCATACCCTTTGTGTGAGCTTTCTAACCAGTCAAGGCAAATGGGAAACAAGGGCCCATGCCTTATCTGATTAGCTATTAGAAGAAAACAAACTACCTACTCAGGAGAATCAAAGATTTTTCTGAGCACTGAAGGAAACAATATACAAGTATATTGCCATCTGAGTGGTTAAAAATAGAGAAGAAAGAAAAAAAGACTGCTTCATGTATTATCACACAACGCCCATCATTTTTCTCTTCCCAACAGCATGAAAACAACTGGTATGTGTAAAGAGGTTTACCCTACCCACTTTGTTCCTTGAGGGCCATTGATAATTCTTTGTCCATTGGGTTTTCCATTACCACCAGGAAGTACTTTCCCTTCTACGTCTGGTCTGCCGTTATAACCTGCACAGTACAAAATAAATCAATAAAAACAGAACCTGGCAAATTCAACATTCCTGGAAAGTTGGCTTCATACCAGTCTATAAGTAGTAACACATCACTTCAGACAGAAACATTAAACAGAATTTTAAACCAATAGCTCATATATATTAGATAATGATAGTCTTGACTTGTGACTTCTACATGACAAATCTGTTAAGAACACGGTAAGGTCAGTTTTCTGACAATATTGGGGGGATGAGAGTCTTCAGCATGAAGTAAATTTTCCAGATAAATCTTAAGACCTTAGTAGTTGTAGCTTTATTTTAGCCAGTTGGAAGGTGGAGGGAGGGAAGGAGGGTTGGGAGCATGGAGAAAATTATCTCTAAAACATGGTAGCTGCTGTCCTGCTCGTCTCAGCGGACTATTTCTATTTCTAGCTGACTCAGGTCCCGATCCTCAATTGCCAAGTAGAACCGCACAGTGCTGACTCAAGCTTGCTGAACTCTGTGGGGCCGCTTGAGAAGAATTTGCTCAGAGAGGAAGTAGAGGATCCAGCTGGCCTCCCTTCCAGTTTCTGTTTCTGCCTCTTCCTTTCACCTGCCCTTTCTCTTCGCCTCATGCCATCTCTGATCAGCTACACTTCGTATGAGGCCTCTACTGGGCATGCTCTGTGGTCTGGCCTTACCCAGCGGTAAAGTGTTTGGGTTTTCTGACAACTATTTGGAGGTCAGAGACTTAATTCTCTCACTCAAATAGCTAATGGGAATTAAATATTTATTGAGTTTCTACTATGTACAAGGGAATGTGGGTTTTATATCTATTATCAGGGTCTTAGGTTTGCTTAAAATAGTCATTTATAAGGGAAAACTGAGCTCAATGTGGGGTGTTATTTTATGTCTTTACATTGGGCTAAACTGATAACACACCGTACAGATTAAGAAATACTAGATACATTCATTTAAGAATGTTCATTACCAATTCCATGCAAGCAGAGTGCAAGGCACCACTTAACCAAATGCAGAGTTAGGATAAATATCTTAGATCCTGCCCTGGAGTCCATGTAGACTCCAGTTCATAGCGTAGACTCCATTCATAGCTATGTCCCATCCTAAGTGTAAGTCACACATCTGCCTGTTACTCCTCTGTGTGACAAGCATCTTTAACATGCATTTTCTGGAGGTTTTAAATAACATTCACTGATTGCAATGTCTAAGCAATTCACACCCAAGACATTTGAGTTTGTCCCGGGGTATGTTCAGTTGAGAGTTCCATATGCAGAATCAACAAGAACAAGATCCAGCCTACATAGGTATTGTATTTCTTACTGTGGATTCCTTAAATATACCCTGGCATATGAACAACTAAACATAACCTAAAATACAGGAAGCTGAGTTTGGCATCATGGTGGTGACACATGTTCACAGATTAAGAGCATATGTTAAGGATTCAAAGAGGCAGTATGGGATGGTGGAATGACAGAGGGCTGTGGAATTAGTGTCTGAGATTGGAATGGCAGCTCAGCCACTTCATAGCTGTCTGACCTCGGCCAAACGACTCAGATCCCTAAGCCCTAGCTTCCTCATCTGAAAACCAGGAGAAACAATGCAAACCCTATGAGATGGTAAAAGGATGAAATCATGTTCCATCTGCACAACTCTTAACACAGTGCTTAGACATAGCAGATGCTCAATAAAATAAAATGTGATCCTTCCAGGAATTGTTATGAACACTACTGAGAACCGTCAAGAAAATGTTAAGTGACTATTTGTAAAAACAAATTACCTTGTCTGAAAGGGGGTCTCACAGGTTGGCGTGAGAGAGGGTTCCGGAATCTGGAGTTCATCATGCGCTGGCGCAAGGAGAGCATCGGGGTGGTGGAGGAATAGATAAGAGGGGCGCGGGTGGTGGACCGCGGCCAGGCGGGGGGGCCCACGGTGGGACTTGGGGTGGCAGGGCTGCCAGGGGGCTGTCTGGGCGGGAGGTGCGAAGCTCTCGGAGAGCTGCCTGGAGGAGGAGGAGGTGGAGGAGGAGGAGGGCGCTTCACTGGGGTGTCATTCTCGTCCTGGAAGGAGCCCACTTTGGGAGGCGCAAGCACCAAGGTTGGCTCCTTCTCCTCTTTAGCAATGTTCCCATCGGCATATTTGCTGCTCCTGGGGACGGAGGAGGAGGGCCACTTTGGAACAGAGGAAGACAGAGGGTCCTCGTCCTTTCCTCCTTTAAAAAACCCCGCGTCTTCATCATCCTCGGCCGAGACCGACTGCTGAGATTTAGACGTCAGCGGCTCCTTCTTGGATGGCGTGGCCCGGGACGCGCCGTCCTTCTTCCCCACCGCCTGGGGCCCTGCTCTGCCCGGGGCCCTGGGGCGGGCGTAGGGGTGGGGGCTGCTGGGCCTGCTGGGCCTCGGGGATAAGCCTGGGGCTCTGCGGAGGTGACTGTCGCCCGCGCTTCCTGCCTGAGCCTCCACCTGGCGGTGCTTGGGAAGGGACGGGGTGGCGTCCTTGGCTCGGGCCGAGTGTGCGGGCGCCCGGACACCTCTGGCCTCTGCTTCTGTGCTGTCAGAATCCCCATTCTGATTCTGGGGAGTCGTGGGGAGCACCCCTCGGGAGCTTGCTGTGAGTGGCGACTGACTGTCTCTGGACGTATAAGGGTCCGAGAAGGAGGCGCTTTCCTGCAACGTGGGTTGGGGACGCCCAGCCTGGGGGAGCGCAGGCTTGGAAGGCGGACGCCCCACTTCTTTGCTCTGGGGGCCGCGGGGCTGCTGCTGGGACCCGGAGATGGTTGAAGAAGGCTGCTTTTCCGGAGCGGCAGCCCCAGCACCCATCCTTTTGGGCACGCTGGACCCGGGGTGTTGCTGTGACCGTGCCGTGGACGGCCGAGCAGGGGACAATTGTGTTTTGGGGGAACCGCCCTCCACGCCCACGTCGGTGCTCTGTTGAACCTCCTGCGCCTTTGACACAGATTTGCCCTGAGGATGCGCACCCGCCCAAGTCCCGGCGGATTTGGGGATCTCTGCCAGGGGCTCCTTCCGCTGAAGGCTCGCCCCTCTCTGGGGGCCTCTTCTTAGGTGGTCCACGCCCCGGAAGGCAGGCTGCCTGGAGGAGGAAGGCATGTGGTCATTCACCACGGTGGCAGGAAGTGGCGTTTCGTCTTCTGCCTCCCTCTCTTTACTATCTTCATGGATATCGGAGCCACGCCTATGGTCAGAAGCTGGGTGAGAACTCACCCTCGAATGAACTCGGGGGGACACCGTGGATGGCGGGGAGCTGGAGGGCTGCAACCGGAGTCCTCGGCCATTGCCAAACCTGTTTGGGTATCTCCCATGGGCAGCAAAGGGCTTGTTTCTGAGCAAACTGAAATGTCCAGAGACAGGCGGACCTGCGGGCAGCCGGGCCCGAAACGTCGGGGCCGTAGCCTCGGCCTGCCTCCTTTTATCTTCTGCATCATTGTCATCGCCATTGTCATCGCCATCAGACGCATCCGCTCCCTCAGAGACCTGTGCCCTGGAGGAGAGACGAGAAGAGACCGAGGAAAACTTGGAAGACTGCGATGGCACACTGAACTTGGTAGCTTGCCCATCCTTCCAGCCCCTGGAGAGTGGAGACCCTGGGTGTGGTTCCGTGGGCAGCAGCCGAGAGGACCCCCCATAGGTTGGAGAAAGTCTCAAGGGTGGGGCTGGAGCACTCAAATTTTCCTCCCCATCCTCAGAATAGGGTGCCCTCCGAGCTGGCAAGGCTGGTTTTGCGCTGTGGGGCTCGGAGCCCCTGTCCCGCATGGCGTTCCAGGCCGACTGGCGGCTGGACGACAGGGCTGGTCTCGAGTGCGCTGCGCTCTTGGGAGGCAGCTGCTGGGAGACCGCGTCCTTGGGGTGCCGGGAGCCTGCGGCTGGCTCTTCCTCCTCTGGGCCCAGGGAGTCATTGTCAATAGAGCTGGAAGGCGGGTTGGTAGAGGGCCCCCCAGAAGGGCGGCGAGGACTGCCCTCAGTGGGTGTGTGGGGGACAGAAGAGGCCGAGGCCGAAGGGGACGCCCCTGGACGAGGGTGGGAGGCCACCAAGGAGCCACGCTTATCTACGCCTTCCTTTCGGGGCAGTACTGGCGTTCGGGCTCTCATTGGAGTCCTTCCAGGAGCAAAGACCGGGTGGACAGATCTACTTGGTGTCCTCTGCTGTGGCTTCTGGTCCTGGGTCTCCGAGGGTGATGGCGGTGGGTCCCCTCGGGAATCCAGCTCCTCCTCATCGGTGAGTTCTGTCAACTGAAGATCCAACCTTTCAGTTTTCCTGGGGGGAAGCTGGAGCAGCCCACCGTTAGCCAATATTTTGTTCTTCAAGTCAAGAAGCTGATTGTTGACATTTCTGCCCCGGGGAGAAACAGGCAAATGAGTGTGTTTTGAGGAACTTGGAGCTTTCTGAGAGGGTGAAGAAGGCTTGGGTTTTTCAGGTTTGGAATCATCCTCCACGTCTGCTTTCTGCTCAACATCAGACCCACTGGTCCGGGCTGTAATAGATTTTAGAGAATTTGCCGTCAAAGAAGAAATTGGAAAGCTGTGCAACAGAAAGTAAGGATTTACATGGCAGTATGGAGGCATTTAAAATTAGTAATTATAATTGATAATTTCTCATTCTTTAGATATTGGACATTTATTTTCCCAATTATAGCAGTCTCCTTTAACGTTCTGTTTTGCTTTAAGTAATAGATATAGTCATTCTTAACAATGTCCGCAAGAAATACATATAAGACTGGTACAAAATGCTGAATGATCTATATTCAAAACTATATGGAGATGTGTTGTGTGTGACTCGCAAGTGACTGGGGCGAGTAACAAATTTGTAATTTTTGAGCCATTCCAAAGAGTTCTCTATCGCCCCAGTATGTCCTTACTTGCTTCCCCCTTATTCCTGAAATCCCTTTAATAATGGAGACATTTGTAATTCCAAAATAAGGCCTAAAATAAAAAGACTCCTAGGGTAGGTAAAGCATTGTATCACTTGTACCCTACAATTTACCCATTCTTGAGAGCAAGAGTGAATGCAGGAAGGATGCTGTAAGGGGAGGGGAATTTATATAGCAATGGGGAATCCAGAGGGAGCAAACTTCATCAATTTCAGTTTCTTCAGGACAGAACTGTTTCATATTGCAGTATACTCTGGATCCTCATGGTACATAACGAAGGAGAGAGCTACCAGTATCTGCTGGAAATGTGGGGAAGCAGAAAAGAAAACACAGTCCAAAAACATCCCACTCCAGTTTTGGATTTTATTAACCTGCTTGGTTTTGATACTGATCAGATAAACAAGGTAATTGAAATTCCTCTGAGTAAAGCTGCCCTCCAAAATCATGGAATACAAACTAAACATTTTTAATGCTATTTAGAAATTGAAGAGCTAACAATTAAAAATGTCACATTACACTTGTAAAAATGTTCTTTCCCTGTCATCATAAACCCAAATTACACAGGGACATAAGATTAATCACATAATGAATACATATCATGTTATTGTAATTTGTCATAGTAATTAATGTTATTAGCATCAATATCATTTTAGTCTTTGGGGAGACTAATTTCTAAATGGACCCCAAAAATATTTTAGGAATCAATATGCAAACTTAGCCCAAAAATCATCAACGGAGCAGTTCTAAACTCAAAAGCATGATTCAAAGTAACACACCACAATTAGCAATAATGAAGAGAGAGAGAAAAAGAGCCACAAATATACAATGCTTACTTGTTGGCATAGCGACAATGAAGGCTTTGGAGTGAGGCCCCATTCCTCTCCTGTTAGCGGCCCGGATTTTGAAAAGATAGCGTTCCCCAGGCTGCAGACCGTCCACTAGGGCAGAAGTAGTGTCGCCAGGATAGGTGAGGGACTTTGCTCCAAATGGTTTGAGAGCCGGGGCGTATGAAAGAATGTATTCTGAAATGATTTGGCAGACGGTTGGAAGGAGGAAACTGAAAACAGTCCTGTGTCCAGCAGACAGACTGTATGGGCAGGATGAATTAGAATGTGCATTACTAAAATTAATACTCAGCAATGCACGTCAAGTCAGCAGCTGGAGCGTAAAGACGCGGTAGAAGGTGAACCAGCATTCATTCAGGCCACCAGACAGGGCTACAGAGTTCATTAGCTGGCAAGTTTCTATTTCAGCAAATGAAACATATGGAACCCGGGAGCCCAGTCTTCCTACAATTTACCAAAAATATTTACACTGCGTTTGGGTTTTTTCTTCATTGTATTTATTTACTAATTTACTATGACAGAATTAAAACATCCTGAGTAGAAGAAACCATGGAAAAAGAAATGACAGCTGCTAGGAATTAATTCTGAAGAGCTGCTGACACCTTCAAGAGTTTCAATTTATTAATCTGGGCTATTTTTATTTGCATATTAAGCCAGATAAATTCCATCTTTTGAATATAATTTCACTTTTGTAGGAATTGTAAAAGTTCTTACTGAATATAAGCATACAGGAAAGTTCACAGTATTTAAAACTGAGAGGAAAAATTGCTAAGTAATAGATTTATGCGTTGTCTAATGTTTCCATCTTTAATTGGCTATATCTGTAGACATATAATACCCTTCAACTTTGAAAATCACAGCAAATTCAGTCCAAGGAGCTAATATATCTCTATGCTTATATGGAAATACTGTAACATAAGGAAGCCATGTTTCAAGGCATAATTTTCAGCCTCGACTAAAAACTGTCATGCCTATTTTCCTCCCAATGAGCTCAAGATTTACAAAACTTATCAAGAAAAATAATTTGAGTTACAGTAAAGCCAAACAATTATCATACTTCCTAGGGGAGCATGGAAGATCTTTTCTTTTCTCTAAGATCTAATCTTTAAAAAGGACATTAATTTTAAAACTTTCAACCAAAAATGCTTTTGCAGCATTTGTCTGAAAAAAAACCACAGTATTCTTTTCCCTTTGAAAATGAACAAACTAGTCATTTGTGGTGGTCAAAAGTAAGAATTAGGAGAGCCCACTGTCTATAAAATTTTGTAATTCAGATTTTTTTATGGATTCAATTCATCTGGAAAAAATTTAACCATGTCAAAGGATATTTTTCTATTATGTTTTATATTTCTCATACATAAAAAATGCCCTAGTATAATTATAAATTTTCAATCCCACCACTAACTACCTAAGCAGGATTAAGACATGTGAGTTCTTTTGGACATAAAAATTCGGTAGCTATTATTATTTCTGGCAATATTTAATTGACTACCAGGGAGCTCCTTTCATGAAAGAGCTATAAATATAAACTAAGATGTGAGAGAAGGAAAGAAAAAAAAATAAGTAGCATGGTAATAATGTCACTAAAGGAGCAATAACTGACTTTTTTTTTTTTTTTTTTTTTTCTACAATACTTATTTTATTCACTTCATGTTTTGAGGAAGATTGTCCCTGAGCTAACATCTATGCCAGTCTTCCTCTATTTTGTATGTGGGACACCGCCACAGCATGGCTTGATGAGTGGTACGTAGGTCTAAGCCCAGGATCTGAACCCACAAGCCTCGGGCCACTGAAGTTGAGCACGGGAATTTAACCACTATGCCACCAGGCCAGCCTCTAACTGACTTTTTTATAACTAAAAAAAGTAGTCAGCCAAAAAATGTCTTCATTCAATTTTCAGAAGGCTTTTCAGAATCACAACAATAATACAGAAGGAGCCAATGTTCAAATCGTCATAAAAAGAATGACTAAAGGGGCCAACTAAATATTTCTTCTCTTCTTTTGTTTCTCATTTATTTCACTGAAAAAAGGAGCAAGAATAGTACAATATATTCCCAAAAATCTTGAAAATGAGAAAGCATTGTTTAGAAAATACTATTTCACATCTACCTTCCTTAACTTCTATTGTTCCATCAAAAGACATTCTTACAGTCCAGCAAAGATGACTTACAGTTGAATACAAAAGAGAATGATTCAATTTTTTCAATTAAGAAATTCTCAAAGGAGACTAGTGATAATCTTCTGGATTTCATTAAGCTTACACAAACTGTTCACAGTTTCTGGACATATTAAAATTGTCTTCCAAAATCGAGTAACAATAATACCTTAGGATACATTTATATAGACGATGTCAGGGGAAAACCTCAATATGGCCCTTTAAAATATCTCCAAACAGACTTCTGAAAGGTTTTTGAATGTTTTCACATTAAAAAGAAATGATTTGTGCTTTTATTTAATATTCTCAGCAGACTATTTTTAAATTTAACTAGTTGTGAATATTTTATTCTATTTTCCGTTTTTAAATCTACAATATTTTTTTCTATTTTGTCATATTTTCCTCAACCGAAAAAATAATTAATTAAAAAGGCTGACAAATAGGGAAAAAATCCATTTTCCATTTTATTTTATTACAGGACTTGATTTTCAAACCCATTAAATATTTATGGCCCCGTTTAAGACATTTATGGTTCCACGGGGTTCCTGCTCACTCCTAGTTTCCATCATCTTACTAGCACAATGAAATGACCCATAGCATAATAACAAGGTGTCATTTGTATGGGTAAAGGGTAAGATGTCACACCCATACAATTAAAAACACCCCTTCTGATAGCAGCACCAAAATCCCTGTGTACAGGGAAGATGAAAAGTCATCTTCAAGACAACCTGGATCTTCCTGACAATGAAAACTCTGCATGAAATCTCCTTGTCCGTTGAGTTAGCACCCCATATACATATGTTGTTTCTTTATTGCTTCTGCAGTCACTAAACCTGCCATTAGAACCAGCGTTTATCAGAGTCAAGGTACCATCTCTCTTTGGGCCATTTCACTCCCGTGTGCACCTTCTACTTTAAGGAATGAGGTTCTTACCTTTCACTTTCCCCTCGGTCTCAGGCAGCGCATCCCAAGCTACGGTGACAGCCGTGGCTTTGCCATTGACTGGCCAGACGTTCAAGTTTTCAGGAGCTGTGGTAGGAGCTACAAAAGGACCAGGATCCAAGGTTTAAAAATGCCCTTGTGGATACTCTAAAAGTATATGACCTATGGTCCCTCCATACACATTTTTTATTAAAGAGCTACTGTGTTAAGTTTTCTTATACATGAGAGAAAATTCTTCACTTGCTCTTTGTGCAATATAGTGATTTATGACAGTTCTACCAACTCATATAGTGAGTTTAGACATATCTAGGGAAATGCTTTTAGGAATTCAGAATTTCTTTCATTGCTGAATATTGAAATATACAAAGAACATTCAAATCCAGCTCCCACTTCTTTTTAATAAAGCTTTTAAAGACATAGTTTAAAAGAAAATAATTGTAGCCTTGAATAGAGTCAAATTCTCACCAAGAATCAAATACAACCTCAGCCTTAGGAAAGAAGGGTTTCTCCTCCACTCCAGAGCTGTGCATTACCCAGGGGCATCCACACACGCGGGTGATTTATGAATACTCCATGCTGCGATTTAATGTGCTCCGCATGTCAGAATAACATGCTAATGAAAACGGCCAGTGAAGGATAAAACATGGGCCCAAGGAAGGTTCTTTGCGTTCATATAAACACTTCCAAGATTTAGGGTTAACGTTACTTTAAAAAATGCCTCTATCACTATTGGCTTATTAAACTGTCTTTAAATCTTATTTCAGGGGTAATTCCCAAGTTGAAAAACCAAAGCCCGTTTTAAATACAGACCAGATTCTGGCGTTCTCTGGAAGACAGAGGTGCTCCACTTGCCATCTCTTTCACCCTGTGAAATACGGACTGCAAATTCATACATGGTGTCTGGAATCAGGTTCTCGATCAACACGCGTCTGTTGGAGATCTGCTTGTAATCCCACCTTGCTGACTCCCCCTTTTCTCGATAGCGCACAGTGTACTGTCTAGAAGAAAAGGCAAGGCAACAATGCACCCAGTTGACCAATTCTCCGCAACTGAACACTAGATTCCTTGCTGTTTTTCCTTCCCCATAAGTGATGACTTCTGGAGGTAAGTAGAGAAATCAAAGAGGAGAAAAATCTAAATTTCTGCCTATGTTATGGGCTCAGAATCAACTTAAGTTCCAGGGAAAGGCATCTGAAGTAGGCCAGGAAAGATGGAGCTTAGTGTCTTTTCAAGACCAAAAAGTCTTACTGCTCAAAAGATCAAGCAGAGACTAAGAAGGGAAGGGACAGAAGGCAAGTACCTTATCAGGGATGTGTGCGTGTATGTTTGTGTATGCATGTGGTGTGGAAAGGGCAGTGTTACGAACCAGAATTGGCCCAAAGTATCTTGGCTTTCTAGAATAGAAAGACAAGAAGACTCATTTCATGGCAAAGCAGGCATGTTTTCCATAGGTTCTAGAGGAAAGGCGACGTGTGGTTTTGAGTAGCCTTACTACCTTACAAGAAGGAACAAAAATGAGTAACAAAGAGAGCAGGATAGAGTTGCTTATAAAAGGAACTCTAGTGTGTGATTATCAGGGAGAGAAACATGGTGTGCCCTAACATGGTAATATTCAACAACCGCAGACAGGAGACATCCTCAACACTCTACGACTTGCAAATGCCATTTACTGCATTTCTTTTCCAAGAAATTTTCTTTGAGACCGCCTTGCAATAGAAAGCATTGGATGCAATAAAAATGTGCTATTCATTATGATATTTAATAAGTCAGGATAAGACTTCAGTTGCAGGCATGGCACACCAACTAACACAAGAGTTGTGCTAAGCAAACTCAAACCCTCTTTTGTTTTCTTCAAGAGGTTGGAAATCAAAGTCCAATGGTAATCAGGAACACTTCATGTTGGGGGAGACCATCTGGCCAGGGAGAGAATCACTATGAACCTTACGAAGTCTTTCAAAAGAAGCAGATGTCTTTTTTTCACTAGCAGACAGTGAAAGAAACTATATCTAATCCAAATAACAGCATATATATATATATATAAAATCTCAGCATTATATTTCCTTCATTTTTTTAAAGTATATTCACTTTTCCTGGTTGCACATAGGTTCAAAAATTAAGACGTAGTGACTAGGCCACCAAACCTTTGGCTTTCTCTTGGCTATATAAACTATTCAGTCATTTAACACATAAAATTTTGATGACTATATTAGTCTGCCACTAACTGGAAATGGTATTCGCCAGTGACCTTTTTAACACAAAAATTATTTTAACCTCGTGATTGGTTTTTCATCTATTGCTCTTGCAAATCAATGTAAAAAACGGAATAATATAACGTCATGGCTTAAGAGAAAATACGGTGCATTTTGTTATGCACAAATGAGCTGGACATGAAGCAAGTCAGTGTTTGAAGAATGTCTAAAAGAGGAATTCCATGTGCAAGGCATTAGACAAACGTCCACCACTCTACATAAAAATCCTTCCTACTGCCACTCTTCCCCAATAACAGGAGGAACGGTAAGACTCCTCCCAGGATGGACTCACATCCTCTGCACGGGAACAGATCATGAATGAGACAAAGCAAAACACAAATAGCAACAAAGAAAGAAACAGTATCTAGGAAATTTCCAGACACAAGATTTGAGCAAGTGAGATGTGCAGGCCTGCTGTGTGCATCACACGAGGCCCTGGTAACACCTGATCTGCGGGAGATGAGTGGCCACACTCGGGATCAGCTAGATTGTCATGGAGTAGTCTGCCGTTCAGCTACAGAAGAGGCCAGCTTTCATATATGCCAGAAGATACAATCATTCAAATAAATACATGTCTCTCCAGGGCCAGAAAAAACACGTCTCACACATAAAGACAAAGAAACAAGGAAAAGTACCTTGACGCAACAGCTTTCTTCTGTTTTTCCAAAACAGGATCCAGCCAGGCTACAAGCACAGATTGGGATGACATAACCCGGACGTTGATGTCTTCAGGCATGTCCATTTCATCCTCTTCTGAAATGACAATGGGACACATGGAAAGGCTGTCTCTAACAACAGGCTCTGCCCTGAGTTCCTTGGGCCCCCAGAGTTTATTATTCACCCTGTATAATTTTTTAATTGCTTATGCTTAATGTAGATAACATGAAAAGAACAGAAAGTGAAGCAATTATTTGATTGGTCGATGTAGAAAATCCTAGTCTCTCCTCTTGCTCTTCTCACACAGTCTAAGAAATTGGCAGGAGATTTAAAAGCTGCCCAACTCAACTGACATAAAGAACAGTCCCAGAGGTATACTTAGCCTTGGCCAAAGATACTCCAAGTAACTCAGTGCTTTGCCAGTATGCACTGTAATTTCCTGGGAAATCATGCAATTTTTACAGGAAGCAGAAGTTTAGGGGAAGAAAAGCTCAAATCAGAGCATTTCCTTGGCCCTTGTGGCATGAAACGAAAATTCTGATTCAAACAACTGCACAAATCACATTGAGTTCAATGTCCTCACATTTTAGAACATGTGATTCTGAGGCAGATTACAAGTTATATTCAGATATAAAATAGAATTCAGTTTGCCAACTTCCAACAGGATACATCATTGTCATTAAGCTTATAGTTTTTGTTCAATCTCTAACTTAAATACTCACAAGATGTCTTTAATTTTGCTTTTTAGTCTCTTGGGTTTTTTGTTTTGTTTTTTGTGTGTTTTGTTTTTTCTTTTCACCTTTCAGGGACCATGTTTCAAAAGGATGTGGCTTTTACTACAGGTAGGGGAGGGTGGAATTATTTAGCCTGTTAGAAAAGTGATATGGACTTCTTCGATAGCAGCAATTAATGGATAATAAAAGTGAAACAACATGTATGTGAGACTTCTGTTATACAATGTAAAAAATTATAAGAATTAAAAATATAAAATTATGCAAATATATGTAATAATATAATAACACATATTATATAAAATTATAATCCACAAATAAATTGTGAATTCGTGAAAATAATTATGCTGTAGGTTGCCTCTTTAAATTAAGGCACATGATCCAGAAAAAGGCATATGTAATTTGTTAAAATATAAGTAATACAAAAAATATCTGTGAACGGATGTGGAAAAAAGTATCCCTTAGTAAGTGACCAATGATCAGGCTATCAGCAAGCCATTGCCACCTTCTGCTCTGTCTTCTCAATGCCATTTTTACACAATTTTAGCTGAAATAAAGTTTGAGTGCATATCTTGCATGCCACCTCTTCTACACCCACTGTTGTTTCTCTTTGTTCACAATCTGTTACCGAGGCCAATTTATGCATGGATCAGACTGTGCCTAAATGGAATAAGTACTTGGCTGCTCCTATCTTGGCAAACCTACAGCACAGTAAAGCCATTCAAAACATACAGAGAAATACATTTCATCACAAGAACACTCTAGCCTCTGAACATAAAAGAAACACGCTTGCGTCCAAAATGACCAAGTCGGCCCTGTTGTTTCCTTTATACTCAATAAAATCCATGTAATTCATCACCCCGTCAGCATCACTTGGAAACAACACTGCATTCACACCTAGAGCACGGCTTGACCAGAAGCATCCTCAGAAACATACCTGAAATCTTCCGCTTCGTTAGGGCAGCCCTGTAGACTGGCTGACTCCGCCCCTGGGAGTTCATGGACTGCAGGGAGACCACATACACTGACTCGGAAGCTGTGGACCAACGAGCAAGGGATGAGGCTCTGCGGTTGGTGTTCCCTGAACACACATCCCTAGTTGTCTGCGTTCCTCCCACCTTCCCTCCTTCCCATCTCATCTTTCTGGGGCATTCCCACTTCCTCAGGACAACTCAAGATGAGACCAAGCACTACAGGAACTAAACTCAAGAACAGTATTATGTTAGAAAATGTGGAAGTGATTTTTACCTATAGTCTTGAAAATGAAATGGATTTCTAGCTCATCAGCACCAAAGAAAGATAATAATGTTTAAGAAATAAAAGAATAGCATGTTTACCCACATAACTCCCCCAATTTCTTTTTACTTCCAAAATAAAAAAGGGGTGACTCTGGTTATATCTTTCATCAAAAAGAAGAGAGAGAGACAAGAACAGCCAGTGGGCCAGGTTAGCAGCCCAGATGGGATGCTGTGCCCTTCAAAACTAAAATCCTCAGAATGGAAGAGTTTAAACATATCCTTTATTTCCGGATTGTTCTTTCAGTTAGTTCCCCCCACAGCCCCCTAAAATGCACTTTGGGCCCACTAGTATTCAACTTAACCTAAACTTGAACACTTTATTTGGAAAAAAATTTACAATGATGAAATAAAACTTGTAATTCCTGAGTACTATGGACTCATAGAGTCTGAGACCCAGGTGAAACCTTGGTTATCTTCCAATTTGACCTTCTTATTTTACAAATAAGGACATAAAGTCATAAAAATTGATTGACTTGCCCAAGGTCATGCCCCTAAGAGGGACTCATGATCTTCCCTTTACCCAAGGTTGTTGATGCCTAACTCTAGTCTCTATTGACTGAGCTTCCTGTAGCAGTCTTAATCAATTCCAGAATAAAAATGAGGCAACCTGATATATTTCTAATGCACATAGTTATATCATCAGGTAACACCTAAGGAAATTAATAGAGGTGACGCTAAGATCCTAAAGGAAAGTTATAACACTGGAATCCTTCCTTCAGGAATTGCAAAGTTTCATGTGGCAGTGGGAAAATAAACATTTTGTTTTTACAAACAGCATGTTGAATTAAACATAAAAGGAGACCCGTGTTCAAAAACCCCACACAGACAGCCCTATTTATGTAAAGTAAACTGCTGTAGACTAATCAGATTTCAAGGGAAAGAGATAATATTTGACAACCTGCTCTCTCTCTATATACAGGGGCAGGTGAAACTCACGCTGGGCCATGAGTAAATTATTTAGGCTCAGGCTCTCACATCTTATCCTACTAGAGAATCATGAAATGCAGGTTTTTTAAAAGGGAGGAATCAAGTTTCTAACACTTGGACTCATAGAACATCAAATAAGCTTCTAAACAGAGGAGTTACTTCAGATCTGTTCACTTCTCAGTGCTGTTGACAATCGACACACGCCAGAAGACAAGAAAGAAAAAACTCTGCCATTCAACTTCATCATCCAGAAACATGAATAAATACCCAACGTGAAAAGCAGTGGCCCATCATTTATCAAGAACCACCCAGAAATGAATAATTTCCCACAATTGACATTTTTACATATTTACAATGGAATTCTTAAAGTTCTTTGATTTTGTTTATGCCCAGATTCTTGATTTGCTGAGTTCTCCAAATTAAACTTGGCCCAAGATTATCGTGAAGCAAGAGCTTTGTACTGCAGTGAACTAGAATAACAGCTCATATATATGGAGTCAAGTCTGTTCGCTGTGTTAAGCATTGCACATCAATTCTTCATTTAGTCCCAACAAAGCTCATGAGGAAGCTACTCTCATTGTCTCCATTTCAGATGAGGAAGCAGGCTCAGAGGGGTGAGATGACCCACTCAAGGTCATGGTCTGAGTGGCAGGGCCAAGTCTCACACCCAGTTCTGTGTGGCTCCAAGCCCCAGGCTCTTATGATGCAGGTGAGGAGGGAGCAGGGTCCAGAACTAAAGGAGCACCAGTGATACTGGCTCAACATAAGGTTGACATAAGGGATGCCATGTTGTAGGAAAGAAACCATATTGTAACTTTGAATGATCTCTGACTAACTAACCCGGACATGCTCTGTGGATTTTATGGCCCCTCCCAGCTGCTATAAGTTGATAACTTTGTTCTTTTGAGTTCCTTAAGAATGTGATGACCCCCAGGCAGAGAGCCTATGCTGAGAGCCATCATCAATAACAACTGAAAGATCTGGGTATAGGGCATTGCTCTGGTCTCTGATGCATATCCAGTAAAACAAAAGACTATAGTTCCTGATAGGATAGATGTCTGCCCCCACCCGGAGACCACCCCTCTATATACCTGGCCTGTGGTCTTTGTTCTGTAAGCTAGTTCTTTCAGACATTAGTCGGCCATCTTCCCCCTTGCTAGCAAGCTGTAATAAAGTCCTTTCTCTCCTATCGCCTTGCCTCTTGACTGTTGGCATGTCTTGCGGCAGGCAGATGACCCCCACCTTGGGCAGTAACACCAGCCCCCAGGGCCCAGAAAGTGCCTGACAGCTGGATAGGCCACAGTCCACCTCTTCTTCATAGAGAGATAATGTAGCACAGGCAATGGTATAAAAACACACTTCTTTCTGTGCTCCTGATTATTGAATAAAAAGTGGAAATAAAATTACCGAAATGACCCCAGCATCACCAGCCCAGTGACCCCAGGCACCCCCCCATTGTCAGAGCCAACACTTTTGCTCACTTCCCTGACCTCAAGCGGACCTCGAGTGTGTGATGTGCAAGAAACTCCGAGTGTCTCGACTTCTGAAGGACTGTCGTAGCTTTCTGAAGGAGTCCAAACTGAAACGCCCTCATTCTTCATTACCATCGCACTCCCACTTCATGTCCTGGGGCTTGCTAGCTCCTGTCCCTTCCACATTCCCAGGGTCCCCTCACCCTCCCTGTGGGCCTCCTTTGACCTTGGGACTCAACACTGGCGCTCCCGCTGCAGCACTTCCTGCCTCCTGGGCCTGCTTTATTGACTCCAGGCCACTTTCACCATAGGGAGCTCTATTCACTCTGTTGATTGTCTTCATGAGCAACTGCTGGGGCCCCAGTACCTGGGGTGGTGACTGCATAGAAGATGCCCAATAAGACGTGGTTAATGAATGACTCGGAGGGTGGGGTTTCCTGGACCTCAGGCCCACTTTTCTCCAAGTTCCTTTAATGTCTGACCATTCTCTGCAGTGCCACACTTTCAATGGCATCTTGGTTATAAACAGAATTAAACTCCTATACAGGATAAAACCCGGAGAAAGGCGTCCCATAACACAGCAGGCCCACTCCGACATCTCCAGGGAATTCACTTCATCCCGTCCTCCCCGCCATGATGGAGCAAGTGTCCAGTGAGACGTCCTCCTCCTCATGGTAGCCTCTCAGATCATTCACGATGGCAAGTCCAACGCTTTTTACGTGGTGGAAATTCAAAAGCTAGCACGTTGGAGCAGAATCCCAAGAGGCCTGCGCTGTCCATTCAGGCTGGGACTGGAGCTCCCCCCCAACCCCAGCTCAGTTCCAACAGCAAAAAAAAATCCTTCTGCTATCCTCAGGTGAGCCAGCGGTTCACTACTGAGGAAATGAAAAGATAGCACCAGTCAGATGAGAAACTTATCACTACTAAATAACATTTTAATGTGAGGTGTCTATGAAAGACTCAGAACAACGAAAACTTTCCACCTAAAAAATGCTCTCCTGCAGTATCAAAAATGCAAAAATAGTGGTTCTTCTCCTCTGCTGATATTGTGGGTAGCATTTGGCCCACATCACCACAACAGAGCCATTTAACCTGCATGGTACAACTATTCGGGAATGAATGACTGAAGAGTTTCTAAATGATTCAGTGGCTTCATTGACTGAGCCTCTAGCTCCAGGTCTCACTGCTAAGACAGAAACCAGGCTTCACAAAGCACTGACAACTCAGATTTCTCCATTTTCTTCTGCCATCCCTCGTGGTTTCATGTGGCATTGGAGCAGAGAGGCAGCTAGTCTATTTCAGCTGGAAAAGGTCTGCAATCTGTATTTTGAAATGGCTTCAATGCTATGCCTGGCTCACTGCTGCCTGGGCGACCACAGGGAGACCAAGTAAAGCCCACAGAATGCCACAGCTGACTCTGTGCCATGAACACCCAACAGACTTTTCCAAAAGAGTCTTCAGCAGGTGGCTGAACAGAGTAGCAAATAGAACGGTGACTTCCGAGTGTATTTCAGGGAGGAAATCCAGCCTGGCCTTCCACTCAGTGTCTCCACCAGATCAATACGGCCTGGTCAGTGCCTGTCATGCAGCCCAGGGAGCCAGCCTTGGGAGTCCTGAGGAACTTGGAGCTGCTTGTCCAGACTTCAAAATGTTGTGTGGTCATGCCTTTAGCAAAGCAGATCTTGTTCTCAGAGCACCTGAGGAGCGTGGGCCCACCAGGCCTTCTTCCCACAAGCAGACCTGTTTGTACCACCACCATTCTTGCCTTGGGCTGAGCTCCAAACCACTGTTAATTGCTGCTGCGGCCCTGGCAGCTCTCGCTCCTGGGTTCTCTTCTCCCCCTTCCTTCTACCATTCCTCCGGCTTGTCTCTAGCCAGTCTCAGTTCCTGCCGTTTGCTCATCCCTCACTGGGTCTGAGAGAAGATCTTATCTTTTATACTTACATAGGTGCCAATGGGTGCCATTCTGCCTTCTCATTAGTGACTCCACTCACATCACACAGACCTTCTCTGTCTGCCCTTCTCCGCTATTTTGCCTCGAGCCATTCCTCTTTCCATCTCCAGTCCATCATCACGTGTGCTGGAAGCTGAACAACACCTGACTACCATGTGAGGGAGGGACCACTGGATCCTACTGGAGGCTTCCAGAAGGGCCCAATAAGCCACACCCTCTTCCTTGCCTGAGTACTGATCCAATTAGGAAATGAAGGAAGAGTAAGCAGTGGGGGCCAAAATATTTATTGCTGGGGCCGGCCCGGTGGCGCAAGCAGTTAAGTGTGCGCACTCCACTTCTGCGGCCCAGGGTTCACAGGTTCAGAACCCGGGCGCGCACTGACGCGCTGATTGCCAGGTTATGCTGTGGCGGTGTCCCATATAAAGTAGAGGAAGATGGGCACGGATGTTAGCTCAGGGCCAGTCTTCCTCAGCAAAAAAAGAGGAGGATTGGCATCAGATGTTAGCTCAGGGCTGATCTTCCTCACAAAAAAAAAAAAGAAAGAAAAATATTTATTGCTGGTACACACTAAGTTGCAGAACATGGGGACACGTGTACTTTCTAATACTGAACCTCAGAAGTAGACAGACTTTGCTGCTCAGCAGCCCTGGGCCCTCCATGACTTGGGGCACAGAGGCGCTGAGCAGAATGTGTGCTTTCTACAGCCCAGCTTCCTCCCAGGAAGAGGAGATATGAAGGGACCAAGCCACGGTTAGCCAGTGTCTCCTGCCAAACTCATCAAGTAGATAAGAGGGTGTGAGGGAAGGGGGAGAAAAGCAGGAGAGTTGCAGCCACTGGCACTGACTCCACACCAAGGAAGTGCCAGGCGTGAGGGACAAGCATTGCCCCTCGAGGAACATGGCCAGTGTCCACTGTCCAGGCCTGCCAATGAATAGGGCCAACAAAGGTCAGGCCTCCATCTAGGCTAGAACGATGCACATACTCTCTCCCAGTCACAGCAAATGTGCCCTTCAGCCTTCCACGGCCAATGCTTCCTTCACCCAGTAAGGGTTTGGAAAGAGGAAGGAGGGCAGGGCCGATTTGCAGGCTTCACTTGGCTGCCACTACATTTCATCTCGATAAGACTCAAGGTTCAGTGTCCTAGGATCTAAGACAAAGCTTAAAGAACAAAATGAAAGCAGAGCTGAGATGGGAAAAGCATTAGCCCTCCATTCCTGCCACGTCCAGAAAAATGGCCCAATTCAAGGAATCGGTGTTGTCGGGGCAGGAAGCAGCTGATGGGCACCTGAAGGGCAGTCTTGTCCTGCCACTAACTGAAGGTTAAAAAGATGGAGGCACAGAGGGAGGATAGAACAAAGAGCAAAATTTCAAATAATTGTAAAACCTGGAAAAAGAATATTACAACTAAAATACTATTTTCTGTCACGAACGAGCTTCTAAATATTGAACTGATGGGAAAGATCACCAAACATTGAATACCAAATAACACTGAACTTACCTAGCTTTTTAATTTCGTGTGTTCGTTCATCTCTTGTCAGTGGAACATAATTCATCTTCCGGCCACTTTCCCCGTAGCCCAGAAGAAAACCCCGCGATCTGCGTGGACTCTTGGCTCCAGACAGACGTGGTGCCTTCCACGCAACAGACAGCCGGTCATCTGAGGATCGGACGCGGACACGCAAGGGCTTGTTTGGCACTTCCTTTTCTTAAAGAGGACACGACACAGAAACCATTAAACAGTACACCCCTTAGAGTTTACTGTTGGGTGTATAAAGTCTTTCCAAAGACTGAGCCGCAACAATTAGCAGCTGGGCTTAAAACATCCATTTTTGGTAATCAATTCCAGTAAGAGCGTTTTTTCCCCAAGGGTATCGACACTCCGTGCACATGTTCTTCCCCACATTTCAGACCAAGAGGTCTTAAGAACTTAAAATGAAAACATACCGTGTGTGAGATGCCAGCCAGAAATCTTGGATGTTTTACAATGTTCTTTTTCATCTATTTCCTTTTGCCCTCTTAAAGCCAAAACTATATATTCTCAGGTGAGACGTAAAGGTCGGTGTAAAAATATAGCAAACATTCTTATATGCTATTTATAACTGTCCTCCAGGAAGCTTTTTCAATGTCAGGTTGAAAAGATGGGCTTTCCTGGCATTTATGGTGAATCACTAAGAGCTAAATATAAACTGATTTCTGGTTTTGATCTTAATTTTCCTTACATGTCTGTCTTGCCCCTCCAGACAAATCCTGTTGCTCTCCTCAGTCTCTGTTGTTTCCTTCCTGCTAAATCAGTTTCAAGAAATCTTCTTGCTCAACTGATCAATCTCAAGAAATGCTCCATTGTTAGCTTTTTCAAAGCAGTGCATTCTGGTGGCCAATACTTAGTGTTCAAAGTTTTGCTTTGACATCAATTAAGAGCTGATAAACTTGGGAACAAGGGACCGTGTGACAACTACCTTGCCCATTTCTAATAGTGGGCCACATTCTAGCACTCATTTGGGGATCCAGTTAGGGTAATGAGTGTCTCTGTGGTTACATGCTGGTTACTTCCCAGACATTCTTCCTCCACTATCTACATTAACTCCATCATCAATTCTGACTAAGTTTATTAGACTGGAAAATTCCCAGCTAAGCTAAGACATAAAAACAAAGACTAATGTCATGAGTTAGTGTGATCTTCAATAACACAATAAATACAGTCATGCGTCGCTTAACAGCAAGGATACGGTCTGAGAAATGTGTCATTAGGTGATTTTGTCATTGTGCGAACATCATAGAGTGTACTTACACGAACCTAGATGGTACAGCCTACTACACACCCAGGCTGCAGGGTACTAATGTTATGGGACCACCATCCTATATGAGGTTCCTTGTTGATGGAAATGTCATTATCAGCGCATGACTATAAACAGCCATTGGGGATGGTTATTCTGAAAAGCAGACACTTGGCTCCAACGTTCTAAATCTAACCAAAAGGAATATCTATTTGTACATTAGATGGAGTTACCTATCAGTTACTGGGCACCCCATTTCTAAAGGCTACTAAGAGAATACTATGTAATGGTTCAACAAATATTTTCCCCAATATATAAAGTACTAATTATTAAGATTTTTTGTTTTTAATCCAATAGCATAGTGAATGGACTAACTACATACAACATCACCTTGCATCCTGGTGGTAAGAGTGTAACCACTTCCACTGGGTCATACTGAACTGATCTCAGTTTTGTTCCAAGTTATGAGATGAGCTCTCAATTTCAAGGCCTAGCTTCTGTAAAAGTCAGGGACCACCAAGTGATTATGGAAATGACAAATATGTTCATTTATATAGTTCAAAAGAAAGTAATTTTCTGAAAGTGTTCAGCACTAATAGTCCAATGTATTAATGGCACAGCATTGACTAATCTTATGAGTTCCTATATCAATCCTATGAGTTGATCATTCTGATGAGTTCCCATTGGGGATCTGTTGCTTGATACTCATAACATTTTGACGTCCAATGATTCCAGAAAGATCCAGGCTGCCAAATCTTGTTAAGTGTGAGTTGTCCATGGGTGACTGTGTCACAGAATTGGACATGAATTCCCTTCATCAGTGTGTGTGGCTGCTGAATAGACCTTGTATGGAGCTAGGGTAAGAATAATTTTTTTGAAAATACTGGGGAAAAAAATCTGATAAAAACTACTTAGGAAAAGCAAAATCTGGACTGGGAGCAGCATGTTTAGTCTCATTTATCAACAATGAAGCTTTGGTTTGTTTTTTAAAGTTTTAGCAGATTTTTGGAGGACATTCATTAGAGCAAAATACATAACCAAGTTTAATTTTTCAAGAACAGTGTTTGTGTTATTTTCAGATTTATGCAAAGTTAGGAAATAAACTTTCCATGAGCCATGAGCATGGAAATAGAGATTGAGAGAGAAAATGTTAAAGGAAGCAAAAAACTTTGCTTCATTCTCTCTTTACATCTTCTAAGTCATTTTTTTCCTCCATTAGCCTCCAATACAAACTATCACTACACAAAAAAATTCAGTTTTGGGGCCAGCCCCATGGACTAGTGGTTAAGCTCACATGCTCTGCTTTGGTGGCCCAGATTCACGGGTCTTGATCCCAGGCTCAGACCTATACCACTCATCAGCCCCACTGTGGCAGTGACCCACATACAAAAAATAGAAGAGGACTGGCATGGATGTTAGCTCAGGCCAAATCTTCCTCAGAAAAAAAATTCAGTTTTAACAGAAGACCCTCTCATGAGTGATGTCACAGACTCTGGGGGTGAACCATCTGAGATCCGGGTTTGATTTCATGGCATGCCCACCTTAGGGCAGGGGTCAGGTCTGTCATTAAAAAAAAGTCTATAAGATGAAAATAATCTCTGCCAACAACATATGATGTTTATTTTACTTTTATAAAAAGTGTATACTTCCTCCAGGGAACCTCAGTGATGTGAGGTCGAGGAATGACTCCTGCTCAAGCAGCCACAGGCCATTTGCATAGCTTGTTTCTCAGGTCACGCTGGCAGGGTGACCACCCAACCGACATGGCCACCACAGTCTATTTCCCGATGGGCAGCAGTAAATGGGACAATGTCCCTGGTGCTGTCATCAACTTGACTGGCCTCAGTGCTACCCTCCACAGCTCTTGTTCTAAAGCCATTGGTGGCCCACAACAACTCTCCCCTCCACTACAGAAAGCAACACTCAGCATGGGAGTTCTGGGGTGATCGCCAGCAAAACAGGTAAATCTACTGAAAACAACACACAAGTCTTACAGGAGTCAGCTAAAAATAAATGATGGAACAGAAATGGTGTTCTCTGCCCCATGGTTCTGGGAGAGTCCTGGGACCCTTCCAGCCATGCATCGTACAGGGGAAACAGTGTTGGTGGAGAGCGCACGGTCACCGCTGGGCAGTGGGGAGTGCTCCAGGTCTCTGCTCCAGGACAAACAACCCCGACACTCAATAGCAAAGATACTGAAAAAACAGTAACGAGGAAAAAGACCACTGGAATTTCCTAAAGTGGTGGGGTCCCTGATGGGGAGGAAGGAGTGAAGTTCTGAGGACAAGGAGCTCGGTCTCAGCAGCACAAGTTTGTAGCCCGAGGTGCCCACATCATGGCCCTGTCCTGACCCATGCCAGGCCCACTAAACATCAGCCACACCGCCCAGTGGCAGGGACAGTAGCTGCACCGTTGGACTGTCCAGGCTTTCACCCCAGGCTCTGACCCGCTGCCTAACCACTCCACACCAGGGTGCAAGAATGAGGCCAGGCCTGCTGAGCCAGCTGTGGGAACAGGGCTGAGGCCAACACTTACAACCAACCACGTTGCCCACTTTATATAGAACTTTACAGTTTGTCACAAGCTGTCATATGGTTTATTTTAATTGTCCTTACAACAGCTCCCAGGTAAGTAGGATAGATGAGGTAATCCCCACGAAAAAACGAGGTTCAAAGAGGTCAAGTAACTGACCCCAGCTCACACAGCTGCTAAGTGCCAAGCAGGGACCTGAATTCCACCATTCTGACACCAAGTTCTGTTCTCATCCAACTAGGGCCCTTCCACTTACGCTCTCCCCTCATCCCATGTGCTGTCCCACCAACCACCTAACGCTTCTGCTAATGAACGCAGAACAAGCATTCTGAGCCGGACAGGCCCTCGTCAGAGTGTGAGCATAATGTCTTGCACAGCAGGCATTACATTTATATGTGTGTGTATCTTTTTTCAAATGGACCAGACAGTACACTCAGCAAGTAGCAAATGAACAAGAGAAGGCCTCTCCCCAAAGACTGTACCAGAGAACAGTTTCCAGACTGCACAGAGGTTACTGACTCTGAAAACCACAGAGTGAAGGGAGAATGCCAATCCTCTCAACACAGCCCTCTATTTTTCCAATCTTTGGGTTTAGAAAAGCCAACCACAATTTTTTTCAAGTATTTTGAAAATTTCCTTTCTTTAATATTCTGGGTTATACATACCATCAAGCATCTTTTATAGATCCTTTATAGATCATCTGGTAATCCTCTTTTAAGATGATGTGCACCTTAAGAAAAACTATCCATATGGTTCAAATTCACTTGCAGTGAAATTAAGTGTTTTCTTTAAGCTGTTTGTGATAGCCTCCCAGAAGTCCTCTGAACATTTTCTAATAAATCTCTGTAAGTCTTTTATCTTGAAAACAAGAAGTCACAGTTGCCAAGAGTAATCACGTACACTTCCACCAGTGCCAAGTGTATTTTAAACTTGGCTGGACACATTCCCCCCATTGCTCTTGGTACAACACAATCATGTAGATCTTACTCAGGACTAGTCAATAACAGAAGACCTACCGCAATTAATTACACACCGTCCACATGACAGGTCAGCAGGGTGAAATAATTACCATCTAGACTATAGCAGACACCAGAGAACCAGACAGGATGAGAACATCTCTCCTGATTTGTATCACCAGCCATGCAAATTGGCAAATATTCTGAAATTGTGTGGAGTCAAAATCTGTTCTTCTCACAAAAAAAGTCCAAAACTCAACAAGACACATTGCCCATTTGGAATTTGATGCTGGTTAAACATGGTAGCTTCTGAATTGGGCTTCCACAGGCTCTAGGGTCAGGATCTGAATCTAATACTCACTATCTACGTGACTTTGAGAATCTTCACTGAACCTCAGTTTCCTTTTCTGTAAAGTAGTGCATACGTATCGGGTTTTATAATA